GATTAGACAATAACTTTAATGGTGGGAATAAATTTGGAATTTTCTAATTACTGTCAAATATTTTATTGGCAAATTAATTGATATTTAACAAAAATGGAAAACAAAATAAAGATATTTATAGTTTATGGTTTTGCTATAGACGGCGACAGTTGTAGTTATGTGATTAAATTATACTCTGGTATACACAAACGCGGGCGCGCACACACACACACACATATATATATATATATATATATATATATACCATCATTCATCGACCTATATGTCCTCAGAATTAACGTAGAGGCCTACATCTATTGCTTTGAGAAAATACTGGCCTGGGTCAATAGGGTAAGGTGGCTACAGGAAGAACCTATGTCTGACAACAGGAGGCACATACAGGAGAAAAAAATCATGGCTGACAAACAATTTTTGACCACATCACCCCTTATATCTGACGAACTAAATTCCCGGAGAGAACCCTCCTTGATGAATATGTGTAGGTCGCAGATGAGCGAGAGGCCAATAGATATCCGTGTAACAACAAAGATGAACTGAAAGCAAAGATTATGGCAGCATTCACCAACTTAAACAAGAAAATAGGCAGAAGATAATGTCACCATGTATATATATATATATATATATATATATATATATATATATATATATATATATATATATATATATATATATATATGAAGTTTCTGAAATGATTGGTTTCTTGCAATATTAAAATATTATAACCAAGATTTAACGGAAATTTGAAATTATTTAAAAGAAATTTTTTATTTTTGTGTCCATCTCAATTTTTTTAAATACTTATATTTTTCAATTATCAATCAAATATACTTACTGAAATACTGTTGCCGCTATGAATACCAAAAATTAATTTTCACCTCTGAAAACTTTTATCCAAGCAGAAATTTATATCGGTGAACTGAGTTTGTTACGTTTCCCTCATTTATATTCAGATTTCAGATTTCAGTTTTCAAATTAATATAGAGATTTGATTTATTTTTCATCGAAGATCATTTAGACAAAGTGAAGAAAAGCTTAATATATTTTAGAATCCAACAGACACACATACACGCATGTGGTTACTATATAATATCATTTGGATTATGTTAAGGAAATTTGATACGTTTCGCTAATGTTATTGCTCTATTAAAAAAATAAAATTATAAGAATAAAGTCCACATGTAATTTCATTTCTGATGCCGAGAAATCAGCAAGATATGTGAAAGTAAATATAAACTTCAAGATTTTATTATACATATTTTAATATTCGCTCGGAACTTGACACACACACACACACACACACACACACACATACACACAGAGGCATATATATATATATATATATATATATATATATATATATATATATATATATATATATATTAATAACTAGCTTATAGCGATATTGTGCGGCAGTTAATGAAGATCATGCGTGGGGCGTCTTTTGATTGGACCGTCATCACAACAGGTAGGTATGAATAGATGCTGTGTGCAATAATAAACTACAGAAGAACTCAGA